GCATTATAAGGACCCTATCACCAACAAAAGCTTTCATCTGGCCACCCTAGTCATTACAGATTAGCAAATCTAATTCAAACGCTCTGTAAACTTTGAACAAGGATAAGATATCACAGTTTGAACGTGCCGCTTAAAACGTGATTGCTTTGCCCTCATGAGTTATTTCCCTTTGGAATGGGAACACGTTTCCATTAGATACGCCTTTTCGATAGAAGCCTCTTCGGGCTATATTAAGCTTGTCCCGCGAAACCTCGCTGACGGAGTAATGCATTAGCGATGATCGATGTTTCGCCTACTAAACCTGGTAGCCAATTCGGAAGGGATGGTAAACAGAAATAAAGGAAAATATGAGGTAAAGAGTTAATTTATGCCCGACAGATGTCATAACGCCCAGTAGTAAGAAGCTTTCAAAGATCACACGCTTGATGTTTCGTTAACTGTCGAAAACACGACCCTGCGCGACGGTGACATACAGCTGACTGCCTTTCATCCTGGACATAGATGGAGAAGATTTGAACAGATACTACTGTTAAAACACCTAAATTGTAACTTTAAAGTGAAATGTTCAAATGTTAGAGGTGGCGAGGTGAAGTGATGGTTAACGCCACGTTTAGGATTACTGCACTTCTTTTGCGTTTTCGTGACCATCCGTTCTTTATACGCATTTGAGATATAATCAGCGTTTATTATTCGGTTAATCTGTTTCTAACTGATGATACCTCGGCACGCCTTTCGTTGTAAAGTTTCAAATGTCTGGAGAAGTGTTGGCACAAAATGCACAAATAGATATTCCAGCATTTAGGTAAATCGATGTACACAGTTGCTCTCCTGTGAAAACATATTGGTGTGTGCGTCTGTGTCTGCGTGTGCGTCTGCATGCGTCATTAAAGAGGATAAGTTTAGCAGTGTACATGCAGTGCACATTTTTTTAATCAAACTCAAACAGAATTTCACCCTTCAAGAAACAAATCAAATACTGTGTCGGCCTCCATATGCTTATTTTGATCATTGTACCGTAGTAAAATGTTTCTTTATTATTATTATTATACTTTATTATTATTTTTATTATTATTATTATAGGATATTTATAGTAAATGTTTCTAGTATTATTTCTGAATAAACATTGTACTTTGTATGAAACCCAGCTGACAACGTTGACATTTGCGTCGATTTGTGTCACGAGGCATCCTTTAGCTGCTGCGCCTATTTGTCTGTGGTGTTACTGATGCCAGGGTTGACTTTCAGGCCTGACGTTCAGGTCGACGTCACTGTACTGCCTACAATAGTCTGTCATACAGACCCTAAAACAAATATATCAAAGAGAACTCATGTAAGTCTAGAATATGTGGCAGGTCTATATTTCTACAGTTTCTGAACATGAAGAAAGCCTCAGGGCTCCTGTTCATTATATTGTATTTTTTTGTATTATGAACTGTTATTTTCTGTAAAATATGTTCATATTACAGACTAGTTGTTATTCTATGGCTTGAGTAACATGTGAACCATGATCTGCATCTCACAAGGGTGTCCGCGCTGTAGCCGTGTTCACCCGAACTCACTCACTAACTAATCGTTGCTACTGGACACTCGATATTCAGTTTGTGTACCTATGTGTAATCCAGCCCAGTAGATTCAAAGACTGAATTCTGTATCTAAGCAACATCTTACCCAGTCACTTCTTGCAACCAAAATATACGCCAGGGAAAATATAATTTGTGCATTTGAAAACTGAATTTGTGCATTTGAAAACTGAATTTGTACAATCAATTGTAAATAATTTATTATCGAAACGTTACTCGGCTTAAAACAGTCACAAAAACACTGCAAACATAGGGTATATGTATCAAATAAATCACCATCAGTAAAACATGGTGTATGATTTCGTTTGCCCGGCAATTTGTTTCGATAACTCTAAATGGCTCAGTCTGCATGAACCAGGAACCAAAACATATTTCAATACATTAGCCACTACCAAAGAATTGTGTGTATACGGAATATCCTGATTTTGAATATAAAGAAATGAAAAGAAAGAACGGATATCATTTATCACATGTATACTTCCATGTGAAACTGACAGCCGGAGATTCGTCGAATCAGATTCGCCTACGACAAAATGTGTGGAGGGGAACTGGAGAATATGACGTGGGCAAAAAGTGACTGAGGATTTGGGTCCATGAAGGGTGGAAGTGTAAGAGAAGACACAGATAAATGAGTATGGTCCGTCAAGACAGACTGACTATAGAATGGGGTCCGCTAAGACAGACTGACTATAGAATGGGGTCCGTCAAGACAGACTGACTATAGAATGGGGTCCGCTAAGACAGACTGGCTATAGAATGGGGTCCGCTAAGACAGACTGACTATAGAATGGGGTCCGTTAAGACAGACTGACTATAGAATGGGGTCCTTTAAGGCATTAAGGCAGACTGACTATAGAATGGGGTCCGTCAAGACAGACAGACTATAGAATGGGGTCCGTTAAGACAGACTGACTATAGAATGGGGTCCGTTACCACAGACTGACTATAAAATGGGGTCCGCTAAGACAGACTGACTATAGAATGGGGTCCGTTAAGACAGACTGACTATAGAATGGGGTCCGTTAAGACAGACTGACTATAGAATGGGGTCCGCTAAGACAGACTGACTATAGAATGGGGTCCGTCAAGACAGACTGACTATAGAATGGGGTCCGCTAAGACAGACTGACTATAGAATGGGGTCCGTCAAGACAGACTGACTATAGAATGGGGTCCGTTAAGACAGACTGACTATAGAATGGGGTCCGCTAAGACAGACTGACTATAGAATGGGGTCCGTCAAGACAGACTGACTATAGAATGGGGTCCGTTAAGACAGACTGGCTATAGAATGGGGAGAGAGAGAGAGAGAGAGAGAGAGAGAGAGAGAGAGAGAGAGAGAGAGAGAGAGAGAGAGAGAGAGAGAGAGAGAGAGAGAGAGAGAGAGAGAGAGAGAGAGAGAGAGAGAGAGAGAGGCGAAAGATTGTCATTACCGAGAACAGATAGCAGATATTTTCGGGAAGCATGTTAGATTTAATGTCAGCATGTGATCATTGATTCACACATGGTACACTATATATGGACATCGTGAATACGTCGCCAGGGATAGGATTTCTCCGACTGGAATCAACACATGTGTTATAGGATGCGAGGACATTTGAAGCCCAAGTACCAGGCTATCTTACGCTATCATCAAGTCATTATATGTTGTCGCTAATCGCCAACGCAGCCCTCGATATGTCGGGAGGAAGGACTGACACTGAGAGACGAGCAAGTGGTTTTAGTGAGGCTTTGCTTGGAAGAGGTTGGGAGGGGGGGGGCTGGTGATGTGGAGAGGGGAGAGGCACGGTGGTAGTATTTAACAGTTGTTGATCTCTCCCGTGTCTTCTCTTCACAGTTTATCGTAAATAACAGACTTTAAAGTACAAAATGGTTCTAAATTAGTTAATCAAGATACACGAGGTGTGAACCAAGTTTGCTTTTTTTGAAAATCCGGATTCAGACAGGCCACGTGTTTTTGATTCTAAAATGACTCACTTACAAGGATATCTCTATGATTTGGTCAAAGCAGGGGCATTTGTGTGGATGACGTGTAATGATTCAGGCTAACGTGCTTGTGACTCCACCCGACGTTTAGTTTCCTATGCTCTTTAACTATTAGTGTCTACTATTTCTACAATTGTGTCTGCCTGACGTTATTTTACACCCAGTGCTCATAATATCCAGACGGGATTGACTATCTGTGACTGAATGCGGCGATTAACGAGTCATTCTACTCGGCGACAGTTCCTACTACTACTACTACTACTACTACTACTACTACTACTGACTCGTGAAGATAGCCGTAAGAGGCGACTTACGGAGGCTCGATGACTTTGATGATGCATATCTTAACATCCCTGTTGCTTAGGCCGATGCTCATAATATCAATCACCGGATTGTCTGGTATAGACTAACTGGAATAGCTGGAATATTTCTGAGTACGGCGTTAAACACCTCCACCACCACTACTGCTTCCACTACAACCACCACCACCACCACCACCACAAAGACCACTACTACTACTAAAACTACTACTACTACTTCTACTACTATTACAACCACCACCACTACCACTACTCCCACCACCACCACGACTACTACTACTACTACTAGTATCATTGCTACAGCTATTATTACCACTACTGTTGCTAGTACTACATTACCACTACTGCTACTACTACTACGACTACTACTACTACTACTACTACTACGACGACGACTACTACTACTACTACTACTACTAACTACTACTACTACTACTACTACTGACCAAGACTAGACTACGAGAAGCAGTACCCCAACATCAATTACCAGTTTATATGAAGGATTAGTCGGTAACGATGTACTCATAAACGCACTCACTCATTGATAATTAATGCTCGGTGAAGTTGAGTTGAGTTGAGTTGGACTTTACGTCACATCGGCACTATTCCAGCCATACAGTGATGAGAACAAGTCTGCATTAATAAACATTGTAAGTACAGAGTCAAAATGAGTTTTATTTCAAAAACATATATTCATTACATTGTCATTTGCTCGGTGAAAGATATCAATGATCAACCAAGAGTAGGCCTCGCACAAACTGAATTTAAAAGTGACAAAATGAAAACAAACACAACTTACATATGGCGCCATATCGTTTTCATGATATTTTTCGCTCGATAAATTGTGTGTAGCACAAAAGTCAATACCTGTCACTATTTACACTTTCTACCATCCCGTTGAGGAATAACGGCATATTTTTAAAAACAATGAATCGGGTCGTCACTTTTACGAGCTGTTCATGCCAAGTGGCCCAAACTATAAAAATATCTGCCATACCCGAAGCTGATGTTTACAACTTTGATGCGTCACTGTTTTGACTCGATCAAATCAGACGACATGTGCGCATGCGCTGCTCTGAGTATATCCCAGACGAGAGCCTCATCTGTTATCATTATCGAAAGTGATATTTCATTTTACACGTGTCTTCTCGAGTGACACGCGACATAGCAACTCACACCGTCAGTATGCCCAGATCTTTCCTAATCAGAAATGGGCCCCGCAGCTATTGTAACGACAATTCTGCTTTGACTCCAATAGGTGAGTACATGATTTAAGTGTTTCATAAAATACTTTAAAGGTTTTGAAAATATGTTATAAGTTATTGAAATATTTCATATTAGGAATCGAACTCCCGAAACCATTGTATCTCGTCGTCACATAATTAGAACAATAACAGGTCAATTAACTTTTTAATAACTGTTCATATACATATTGTTCTTCATTATACTTAATTGTTTTATTAAAGACGATACTGAAAGGTCATACGTTACCCATTATGTTTATACAGTCATTCTTGGTTGAATTATTAAATCCTTTTTCTAACCAGGATTATCAAATATACTAATCTTGTTTTCCTAATTATTAATTCGAGTAATTATTCACAGAGGTGATGATAATACATAGACGGTTCATGATTTCAGAGAAACGTATTTCGTCATCACTGTCTGTAAACGTTACGTTTTGCTCATGTGGCGATGTCGTTGTTTTCTAATTATATGGCCACATTATGACATGAGTTGGGCGCGAAACAGGGAATATTCTGGTACACACGGGGATGATGATGCATCAATAACATTGTAATTGAATTAGATACTGCCACTGAATTCCTCACAACTCTATTTAAACTTTTCGCAAAATGCATGCTTTTTCTATAAATGAAAAACATTACATCACATTTTTAGAAAACATCATCCAGGCGCAGTTATTACGATGATTAGAAGATAAATCATTCAAGTTTGACTTCATGAAATGTGTTTGCGGTTCTATTATCTATATGATGAGGTTAACACCCCTAATTACGAGAGATTGATGTGGCCTCGTGAGAGAGACATGTCCACCATCATGGCTGGTTCAGGAATCAGTTTATAAATACTTCCTTCCTAAAATACTTCACACAGAATACTGAGAAGTATTATGTGTAAAAATACTGGTTTTCGTTGTTTGACAAAATCTCTCAATTTATTAATTCTTAGAACGAAACCGGATGTAGTATGTACAGTAAGACCCACACATGGGTGCAACCTAAACTTGGGAAAACGCTAGATCATCCCCACACACAACTGCATCCCTCCCGTCCTACAGATGGATTTCCTGCCATTTCTCAGTTTCTTGTAATGTGCGTTTTCTCATAGGTTCTAATTTCAAAATGGTTCAGTCTCACATGTTCTGTACCCAATCTGCCCGGTCATTATGTTATCTACTGGTCCAGTCTCATGCACCATGTGCGTATAGTTAAGCTTGTTGTACGCCCTGTTTTAGACATACGTTTTACTGGTTCATATTGTACGCCCTGTTTCAGACATACGATATACTGGTTCATATTGTACGCCCTGTCTCAACCATACGTTTTACTGGTTCATATTGTACGCCCGTCTCAGCCATACGTTTTACTGGTTCATATTGTACGCCCTGTCTCAGCCATACGTTTTACTGGTTCATATTGTACGCCCTGTCTCAGACATACGATATACTGGTTCATATTGTACGCCCTGTCTCAGACATACGTTTTACTGGTTCATATTGTACGCCCTGTCTCAGAAATACGATATACTGGTTCATATTGTACGCCCTGTCTCAGCCATACGTTTTACTGGTTCATATTGTACGCCCTGTCTCAGACATTCGTGATACTGGTTCATATTGTACGCCCTGTCTCAGAAATACGACAAACTGGTTCATATTGTACGCTCTGTATCAGGCATACGTCACACTGGTTCATATTGTACGCCCTGTATCAGACATAGGTCATACTGGTTAATATTGTACGCTCTGTCTCAGGCATACGTTTTACTGGTTCATATTGTACGCCCTGTCTCAGCCATACGTTTTACTGGTTCATATTGTACGCCCTGTCTCAGACATACGATATACTGGTTCATATTGTACGCCCTGTCTCAGCCATACGTTTTACTGGTTCATATTGTACGCCCTGTCTCAGACATACGATATACTGGTTCATATTGTACGCCCTGTATCAGCCATACGTTTTACTGGTTCATATTGTACGCCCTGTATCAGACATACGATATACTGGTTCATATTGTACGCCCTGTCTCAGCCATACGTTTTACTGGTTCATATTGTACGCCCTGTCTCAGACATTCGTGATACTGGTTCATATTGTACGCCCTGTCTCAGAAATACGACAAACTGGTTCATATTGTACGCTCTGTATCAGGCATACGTCACACTGGTTCATATTGTACGCCCTGTATCAGACATAGGTCATACTGGTTAATATTGTACGCTCTGTCTCAGGCATACGTCATACTGGTTCAGTCTCATACGTCGTACACCCTATTTAGGACGTACCATCATGGTGCAGTTTCTTACGTCGTACGCCCTATCTCAGACATATCAGGTACTGGTTCAGTCTCATACGTCGTACACCCCATCTCTGACATATCTTGTACCAGCTCAGTCTCATACGCCGTACGCCCTATCTTTGACGAATCTTGTACCAGCTCAGTCTCATACGTCGTACACCCCATCTCTGACGAATCTTGTACCAGCTCAGTCTCATACGTCGTACACCCAATCTCTGACGTATCTTGTACCAGCTCAGTCTCATACGTCGTACACCCCATCTTTGACGAATCTTGTACCAGCTCAGTCTCATACGTCGTACACCCAATCTCTGACGTATCTTGTACCAGCTCAGTCTCATACGTCGTACGCCCTATCTCTGACATATCTTGTACCAGCTCAGACTCATATGTCGTACGCCCTATCTCTGACATATCTTGTACCAGCTTAGTCTTATATGTCGTACGCCCAATCTCTGACACATCATGTACCGGTTCAGTCTCATATGTCGTACGCCCTGTCTCAGACATATCATTTACCAGCTCAGTCTCATATGTCGTACGCCCTATCTCAGACATACAATGTCCAAGTTTCCGTTGTCGACATTCACATGTTACATCAGCATTCACATACTCTTTCTTTTGTTTACAAATTTCACATTTCGGTATACACATAATTTGTTTATAATATAATACTCCACTCAGCGATATACCAGCTTTGTGGTGGCAATCTGTAAATAATCAATCCAACGGTTGACACAATGAACATTGACCATCGCAATTAGGATGCAATTACATGCATCAATCAAATCAGCAATCCTGACACACCCCCACACCCTTCCTGTGAATGAGTGAGTGAGTTAACATTTTAAGTCACATCGGTCATATTTCAGCCATATCGTGGCTAAAAACAAGTTATAATTCCATGATCCCGTCCTATGACACGAAAGGTTGCTAAGCACCAATTGTAAGCAAGTCAATCTTCACGAGTCGTATCATATGAGCAATCAAATATTGTTTCGTTTTTCACACATATCGGCTTTCACATATTGTTCTGGTATTCCAACATTACAACATTATATCAATTTCTCGTATTGTTACAGTATTCGCATATTACCCTGCCATTTCTGTACCTTTTCGGTAGTCACACATTACCCTGCCATTCGCGAATTAAATTGGTTTCCATATTTCATATTGGCGTTCCCGAATTGTTTCAGTATTTACAAGTATTTACTTGTTTTGTTTTTCGTTATAATAATAATAATCATGATTTCGTATTGAGCTTTTCCATGCTCAAATCGGTATTCACATATTATATTCACTTGAACTCTCATTTTATATGTCAAATCGGTATTTTATGCTCAAATCGGTATTCACATATTATATTCACTTGAACTCTCATTTTATATGTCAAATCGGTATTTTATGCTCAAATCGGTATTCACATATTATATTCACTTGAACTCTCATTTTATATGTCAAATCGGTATTTTATGCTCAAATCGGTATTCACATATTATATTCACTTGAACTCTCATTTTATATGTCAAATCGGTATTTTATGCTCAAATCGGTATTCACATATTATATTCACTTGAACTCTCATTTTATATGTCAAATCGGTATTTTATGCTCAAATCGGTATTCACATATTATATTCACTTGAACTCTCATTTTATATGTCAAATCGGTATTTTATGCTCAAACCGACATTCACTTATTATATTCACTTGAACTCTCATTTTATATGTCAAATCGGTATTTTATGATCAAATCGGTATTCACATTATATGTTCACTTGTACTCTGATTTTATGTGTGTTATTGCTATTCATCTGATATTATCGCATTTGAACCCATGCATTGAATCGTTTTCACAAAGGCATCTATTCAGCAACATGTTTTGTCGGATCATTGGTGGTTTCGAGGTAAATCGTATTTGCGAGTCGTATCGACTCATTATCCAGCCTCAGATTGCGTGTTTGTTTAGTATATCTGTTCCATAAAGTCAGACACGGGTATCAAATATGCATTTTAGAGAAGACATCGGAGTAGATTAAGATGTAGTCTTTAATTACAACTTTGTAGTGCATTCATTCTTGCTCCTCGGTAAAGTCGAAGGAATGTACAGTCCGTTTGAGACAAAATGATACCGATGAATTGCAATCTAACACAAAAACAAATACACATAAAAGAATCAAACCAAGGCGGACTGCAATAAAAACAACAGACCAACTCTAGAAAAAAGTGCATAATTTTGGTCACAAAATTAAAATAAATGTTTAAGAAACTGTCATCATTTATTTGTACGTCTGCCAAGTTTGTTACAAGGGTGCATTGGCAACTAAAGGAACAGCGCGAAAAGCGAGATGCACGTGCATTAGTGACGTCAGAGACATGTGATTACTGCTGATTGACAAAGTGAGAGAAAATGAAAGTCTATAATTTACAAAGTCTATGATGTTTTCAAGGATGAAAATATCAGGGGGTGACCCAAGTATGCAATTACTAAGTACATACAGCGCACTGCCTGTGCAGCTGTGGTACGTGTCATCTCGCCAGCTCAACAGTTTGCTGACAACCCGTTAACGCACGTACATCTCGCTTTTCGCGCTGTTCCTTTAGTTGCCAATGCGCCCTTGTAACAAACTGGGAACAAGCGCAAATAAATGATGACAGTTTCTTAAACCCGTTAACGCACGTACATCTCGCTTTTCGCGCTGTTCCTTTAGTT